CATATATATATATATATATATATATATATATATACACACACACACACACACATATATATGTGTGAATATATACATATATATGTGTGTATATATACATACATATGTGTGTGTGTGTGTATATATATATTCCCCTCACGACCCAATAAATAAATAAACTATAAAAAAAAACCAATTTGGTTAGATCAATTCTACCCATTTCCAAGAAGGAATTTGCAAGGTTCTCAAAAATATTCTATGCCATTCTGGAAATAATTCCTTATGTAGCTTGAAGAGCTGACATTAGAAGAGGGAGACAGTCAGATAAAGGAGGGAGGCCATCCAGTGTGGTCAGAGTAATGACGACAGGGTATATATTCCATTCTTTACCTGAGGGCATTTCTTATTTTGTCATTTGAATGTTCCAGTAGCTGACCATCAGCCTTCACTTGGAGCCTTTTGTCTCTCTCTCTCTCTCTCTCCCTTTCTTTTTATTCATTTATTTAATTCATTAATAATAAAATAATACTAAATAGTCCTCATTCATTGAGGTCATAAAAGCAGACACGTGGGAGTCAGACCTGGATTAAAATCCCAGCTCTAGAGTTTTCTGGTTAGCTATGCTTACTAACCAATATGTGTGTATCAGTTTTCTCTTCTGCCCAATGGAGCCATGATAGTAAGCTACCTCGTGAATAGGGTTGGAGTGAGGGATTAAGTGAGAAACTACCTCTGAAACACAGTGCTGTCTTATACGCATTTGTGGAGAGGCAGCTCTTTCTTTCTTTATGGGATAGTCAATATGCTGCATGAATTATACGTATTCATAAATAATATTATTTAAGCTTTACATTAACTTCAGGGAAGGTACAGTTACCTCCATTTACAGAAAAAGAAATTGAGGTTTGGAAAAAGAACAAAATGAAAGAAATTGAGGTTTGGGAGGGTTGATCATCAAGGCATAAGGCTAGAAAGTGACAGAAGCCAAGTCTTGAGTTTGGAACTTTGGGATCCAAGCCCTGTGCTCTTTTCACTATATAAGACATTCTCTGTTGAAAAATAAGATTGATGCATGGAGTCATAATTTTATGATTGTATCATTTATCTTATTGCTTTAAATTGACACACGGAGCTTCTCTGCAACTCTGCCAATTTCTGGACATATTTTCACTTTCATTTTGTATTTTGGCTTACAAGCCTGGAAAGACTAAATAGTGCCTATATAGAGGGTCTGGAACTTTAAAACTATGACTTATTCATCTTAGGATGCAGCCTCCTTTTTAAAAAGGCATCACTGTGCTGTTGACTCCTATCCACCTTACAAGAGCCCTGAAATCTTTTTTCTATCATGTGGACCACTAGTCACTCAACAAGTCACTCATCTAGTCACTCAAACAAGACATCAGAACTTGGGTTTCCTATCTCCAGCTTTTGGCCCTTGTTTTCTCTCTGTTGGCTTTACTCTCAATTATACTGTCTTAGCAGTGGCTACATAGCACAGGCAGCTCCAGGACCATATCCTAGTTTCTCCGTAAGTCCAACAGAAGGAAAGCCTGGCTCTTAGGCACGTTTCTGACAAAAGCCCCAAATCTGAGCAAAGTCTGAGCTGTTTTTATTATGTCGTAATGAGGATTCATATAACGTCTTCTAAGAGTGACAAAGAAACAGCCTTAAGTAGCTTTCTAGTTAACTAGTTAACTATGTTCTCTTAACTAGAGAACATAATTACAGTTTTAAAACATGATTCTTCACAACGTACACTGTAAATGAAAATGTCATGAACGCAACACTAAGTAGCTTGCTTTGCAAGTCTATTAGAAGACCTTTTTTTTTTTTTTTTTTTTTTTTTACCATTTTAAAAACAGAAAATTGGCCCCAAGTTGATCATGTGTCCATTTTGGACGAATCATAGTGCTCACAGGGAGTCAATGCTCCCATTGGCCAATCCAAGTTACCTGCCCAATCAGGAAGCTCCTTGAACCTAATGGGCTGTGAATGGAGCAGGTGCAGATTCCAAAGAAAATTCGGGGTTCCTTTAACAAAAGGGCAAATGGATTCTAGTTGTCAATCATTATAACAACTCTTCACTTTTCCTTCCAGAATTCTAATCTGCTTGGTCATGGGCATTTTCCCACTTCCCTCAATTCATTCTGCTCCCACCCATGGACAAGCTGACTTCCACACCACAAGATTCCTTACCTTGCTTCCCTCCAGCCTGGGTCCTCTTTAACACCATGCCCTTTTTTGATCTCTCGTCAATTGTCAAGATGGGCTTGTTGGCCAAAAGAAAATTAGCTGTGTGTATAAAAGTAATATGGGTCAACATATTTGGGGGATTTTGTTACAAATGATGTATTTGAATTATTATTAATTATGTATTTTGAATTATGTATTTATCCTGGATCTGGCCCAAGGTTTTTAAAAATATACTTATGTAATAGTTGTATTTTAATGTGATCTTGCTGTGACTAAAGTATGAACTTTGCCATTAAGTGAGACAATTACCAGAGCAATAAATCTTGCCAAAAATTCATGGTGATGCAACAGAACATGACCTCAGATCACTTTTCCCTGGCCTCTTGTCTCCCACAGCTTTCCTTTCTCTAGGGGCTCCGTATTTTTTTATTTTTCATGAACCACATTTTGGTCCCTGCCTCTTTTTTCAGCTTGTCTCTGGTGTCTCTTAGGTTAAGCAGAGTGAAGAGGGATTCTAGAATCCCCAAATCTAGCCATTTCTTATCCAAAACCAGTTATTCACTGACTGCAATTCAGGAAGCAATTTCTAAGTCTCTAACATCATCCCAACCTCCCCCAAATCCATCCTGCTTCTCACATACAGTAAAGCATGCTGGTTAATAAAATGGGCTTTCACAATGGAGAGACCCGGGTCAGAATACCAGCTGTGTTGTTTATTATTATCTGTGTGATCTTGGACAAGTTACTTAATCTTTTTAAGTCTTTGCTTCCTCATTTGTGACATGGGACTGATAGCACCTGTCTCACAGGGTTATTTATAGAGATGAAGAGAGCTCATAAGAGATTCAGAGCTTCAGGCACATGGTGGGCCCTTGGTAAATGTTGACTATTATTATTATTATTACAAACTCTTTTCCATGTTTTACTTCAAAATTAGAATCTTTACAAACCCCCCACAGTGTAATGTCCATTTTAGTGATGTCAGCCTTTGAGTTAATATAAGTAAGTGGAGAAGGAGGCTGTGAAAGAAAGTTCCAGTTATTCATTAATTCATTCCACCAACAACTATTTTCTTGAGCATGTACACTTGTACTTGAATTATCAACAGTTTGTTTGATAAGTGGTTTTTGTTTGTTTAAAAGTGTATAGCAAGGAACTGTTATGTTCTGAGGGTCATGCACAAGAGACATAAAACTGCATTCCTGTCCTCAAGGGGACTTTACTTTTGTGGAAAAGTCCTGACTCAATCCATGAAGGAATAATGCAGGAGCAAAGACTGCTTATCATCAGGAGGTGATGTGCACAATGCGTGTTCTTAGAGGGTTCTAGAAAGCATATGAGCAGTGCTCCCCAAAACCCTGGTGGAGAGAATGAGTAATGCGTGAATCAGTGGAATGAGTGAAGGTTGTTGACAAGGACCCCTGGCTTCAGTCCAGCCCACTCCCAGGCTCTCCCTGGGAGTCTGTAGGCCGACTGTGGTGGGGACAAAGATTACTGGTAATGTTAGGCACGCCCAAGAGCACGTTAGTTTATAAAGGGATAGATAGAACCAGCAACCCACCCTAATCCCCCTCACAGCCCAACCAGTGACTTCATGGGATTGTAACTCCTCCAGGACTCACCTCCTCTTGTCTACACCCACCTGGTCCTCTCACAGAGACACAATGTAATTGATGCTCCTGCAGCTGCCATCAAAACCTACTTGTCCCCTCAGCTTGAACCTCAAGCGTCTGAGAGATTCTCCGTGAAGAACGTAAGAGTGGAACAATCTAATTCTCATAGAAGTAGCTGCTACCCTGGGCAGACTGAGTGGGTTCGAGCGAATATCATTAGGTACGTAAAAGTTGGAGCTTGTATCTACTGACGTTCTTCTACTCTGGCACTGGGCAAGGTGAACATTTCTACCAAATCTTCCCAAAAGGATCATCATTATTTCATACTGAATGTCCTTTTACCACATACACACACTCGCTCTCAGTCTAAATATGCTTATTTTGTTGTTTCATTTTTTATTTCAATGAAAGTTCTTTCTATTTTACTGAATGACTATACTTAGGAGCACCAGGTCTCATGGAACAGAGAGCCGTTTTATAGATCTGAAGTCAATGGTAAGATGAGATCTGAGACTAAGGGTTTGAAGCAAAGAATGCGTGGAAAGGGGATGTAAAAATAAAATCTAGTGGTTTTACCTTTTCTGCAGTTTTTAAGAATCTTGATCATTTAGGGGCAGCTGGGTGGCTCAGTCAGTTGAGCGTCCTACTTGGGTTAAGGTCATGATCTCACAGTCCGTGAATTCGAGTCCCGCATCCGGCTCTGTGCCGACAGCTCAGAGCCTGGAGCCTGCTTCAGATTCTGTGTCTCCCCCTCTCTGCCCCTCCCCTGCTCATGCTCTCTCTCTCTCTCTCTCTCTCTCTCTGTCAAAAATAAATAAAAACATTAAAAAAAAAAAAGGAATCTTGATCATTTAAAAATTTACCTACAGAAAATTCTCTTTTTTGGTTTAGAGCTCTGTATGTTTTCATCCATGCAGAAACATCTATAACCACCACCACGGACAGGATACAGAATAGTCCTATCACCTGAAAATATTCCCTTGTGCTACCCTTTGGTAGTCCCCCACCCCTCTGCAATCCTGTCAGCCATTGATTTGCTCTCCATCACTATAATGTTGCCTTCCCAGAATGTCATATAAATGGGACCGTTCAGTATGCAATCTTTTGAGACTGGCTTCTCTGACTTGGTACATACAGCTGAAATTCATCCGTGTTTTGGAGGTATTCATTCTTTTTAATGGCTAAGTGGTATATCATTGTATGGATGTACCACAATTTTTTTTTTTTTTATTCATTTAGCTATTGAGGGGCATTTAGGTTGTCTCCAGTTTGCCCCAATCATGAATTCTGCTATGCACATTCATGTACAGGCTTTTGTGAGAACCGAAGTTTTCATCTCTCTAGGATGATATCCAGGAGATGACGAGTGCGTCTTATGGTTAACATATATTTGACTTTACACGGAATTGCCAAAGTGTTTTGTCAGAATGACTGTACAATTCTGCCTTCTCACTGACAATGTACAAGAATTCCAGTTGTTCTGTATCCTTGCTACCACATGAGGTTATCATGTGTATATATTTTTACCATGCTGATAGGTATACTGTGGTATCATTGTATTTATTTCTATTTCTCTGCTGAATCATGACATTTATCATCTTTTCATGTGCTGATTTGCCATTGGCATGTCTTCTCTGGGGATATGTCTGTTCAGATTCTTTTTGCCAAATAAAAACAACTTTTTTTTAATGTTTATTTATTTTTGAGAGTGCGAGAATGTAAGTGGGGGAGGGATAGACAGAGGGGGACATAGGATCTGAAGCCGGCTCTGTGCTGACAGCAGAGAGCCCTATGCAGGATCATGACCTGAGCTGAGGTCGGACACTTAACCCACTAAGCCACCCAGGTGCCCCTCTTTTTGCCAATTTTTAATTGGGTTGTTTGTTTTCTTATCTTTGAGTTGTGAAAATTCTTTACAAATTCTGGATACAAGTTCTTTATTTCCTCCTTTTTCTTACTTCTGGAAAAGATTGTGTAGAATTGCTATGATTTCAGGGCGCCTGGGTGACTCAGTGGGTTGAGCGTCTGACTTCGGCTCAGGTCATGATCTCACAGCTGGTGAGTTCAAGCCCCTTGTCAGGCTCTGTGCTGACAGTTCAGAGCCTGGAGCCTGCTTCGGATTCTGTCTCCCTGTCTCTCTGCCCCTAACCCACTCGCATTCTGTCTCTGTCTCTCTCAAAAATAAATAAACATTTAAAAAAAAAAAACAAACCTTTCTTCCTTAAAGGTTTGGTTGAATCCATTAATAAAGACATCTGGGCTTGGGAGTTTTTTGAGTTTTGGTAGGGGTTTTTTGGGAAGACTTTCAACTATGAATTCAATATCTTTACTGTATATGGGACTATTCAGGTTATCTCCTTTTTTTTATTACAATGTTTTTTATTTATTTTTATTATTCTTTTTAAATATAATTTATTGTCAAGTTAGCTAACATACAGAGTATACGGTGTGCTCTTGGCTTCGAGAGTAGATTCCCATGATTCATCACTTACATACAATGTCCAGGGCTCATCCCAACAAGTGCCCTCCTCAATGCCCATCACCCGTTTTCCCCTCCTGTCCCCACCAATCCTCAGTTTGTTCTCTGTATTTAAGAGTTTCTTATGGTTTAGGGTTATCGCCTACTTCTTGAATGAGTTTTGTGTCTTTTAAGATTTGGTTCTTTTCATTTAAGTATCTAATTTATATGCAAAAAGTTGCCTATATTTTTCCTTTATTACCTTCTCCTGATTGTGAAGTTTGCATTGCTATCTGTCTTTCACACCTGATGCTGATAAAATACACCTTCTCTCTTTTTCTCTTGGCCAATCCAGAGACAAGTTTATTAATTCTATTGATCTTTTACAAGAACTAGCTTCTGGTTTCACTGATCTTCTCCATTGTTTTATCTTGTTTCAATTTCATTGTTTTTTTTCTTTTATTTATTTTATTCCTTGTTGCTTTAGGGTTAGCTGGTTTCTTAAGGTACACGCTTAGATTTGAGACCTTTATTCCCTTCCTAAATGAGCATTTCAAGTATAAACTTCTTTCTAGGAACTGCTTTAGCTACATCCCACAAATTTTGATACATTGTATGTTCCTTTACATTGGGATCAAAATATTTTATAATTATCCTTCAGGCTTCTTTATTAACCAATGAATTTCTGAAAGTGAATTGCTTTATTTCCCAATATTTAGAGGTTTTCCAGAAACATTTTTTATTGATGTAATTGGTTCTATTATAGTCAGAGAATATATTTGTATTGTTTCATTCTTTTACATATGTTTGTTTTGTGATACAGAATATGGTTTATTTTGGTGACTATTCCATGCGTACTTGAAAACAGTGTGGGTTCTGTTGTTATTTAGAAGGGATATTCTATAAAAGTTCATTTGGCCAAATTGGTTGTAGTACTGTTTCAGTCTTCTATATTCTTACTGATTTTTTTTTTTTGTCTATTTGTGCTATCAATTACTAAGAAAAAAATTTTGTAGTCTCCAACTATATTCGTGTATTTGTTT